AATCACAGTGAAATAATAAAAAAGTTTTAAATTTTGGGGGATGTTGGGGGGGTGGGGGGGGGGGGGATAATTCATCAAATATAATAAAGAAATTAAAAAACAAAAAAAAGATGCAGAAAAATGCAAAGAAAGAAAGGGTCATGAGAATGTAATGCAAATTTAACAATGACAGAAATGTGGGCTCTTTTGGCACAATGATATAATTGATATTATATCAATGCTGCATAAAGTAGGCTACAAGCAGCGTATGCAAGATGGCAGGCAGTTTGTCCACTTTAATTCAACTGTGTGATAAACTTTCCAAAATTCGATCAAGTTACCTATTTAATCATCAAATAATCTACTTGACAGAATAGGGTTACTTGGTTATAGTTGAACGATTAAAAGGCAATCCCCACATCCCAGGGGTCCACTCACTCCAGACAGTGATAATCCGTCTATCCGACGCCGCCAATCCCTGTCCAACAAAGACTGAATCACACGAGCGTCTATCAAATCTGTTCAGTCTCAGCTGTCAGAAGAGGATCATGTCTGCGGACAAACGCCCGTGCGTGCAAACAATACACAACTAATAATGCATAATAGCTTTGTCTCCCTTTGTATATTTGACTGTATCTTTACAGCACTGCCACTCTTCAGATATATGCCATTTTTAAAACTCAACGTCGGATTGCACGTCTGTTTGGAAAGATGTATTAACCTTTTTCCCTAAATTAAGTCCGTTTTATAAATTCCCCATATACAAAAATCCATATACGGCCACAAAAACACAACACAAGTAGCCTACACCACCAAAAGGAAATCTGAAATTCAACTCACCAACATAATGCACCACACATGTCTGTCCTTTTTTGGGGAAAGTCCTCCCTGTAAAAGCAGCGCGAGGAGAAACGGGGAGCAGGAGACAAGAGCAATAATATAATGCTGTTAAACGCACGCAGCTTGACAAATAAGACTCTACTTTACATAATAGAAGCTGCATTAAGGTGCTTTTACCATCTCCGTGGGTTATGGTCTCGATCTCTACTCCCATGTTTCTGAAGAGCCCTCCCGCACAGTCTCGCTCGCAGCAGTTTGCAGGCAGAGGAGCGATGCTGTCGGGTCACGTGACCGCAGCGAGAACACTGGGAGAGGGTCCAATAGCAGCGCGCTCACTTAACATAGCATAAATCCTGCTGATGACTAGTGTGACCCGTCCCCTTTGTTACGCCCGGTAAGTGAAAAATACTATTAGCCTATTGTTTTAAAAAGCAAATAACGTTTTTAAATACTATTTTTTAAGTACAAAAAAAAGTTGGATGAATCCCCCGGCCTCCAGCTCATTGTGAAGTACCTGTTACATAACATGCTCTCAACACTCATTTCATCTGTAGTGTTGTAATGTGGGTGACTGGAGTCGCACATATCCACCTCCCAAGCCTCCTCCATGAACTAGAGAACTGCGCGGGACGAAAAGTTCAGTCCCACACCCGCAGATTTGTTATCTTGTCCCACTCCCACCCGCGACATTCATGTTTTGTCCGGTTTTGTCCCGCTAGCTCCTGCAAAAGCCCGCATAAAAGTAGCATATATAGATTTTTTCAGTACATCCATGAAATTTACATGAAATAGTAAGTTCTGTAACATCCCAGCATAAACGCACCCGATAAAACATTTGTTATTTAGGCATCAACATCAACAAACCACTGTTATTTTCATCAGGGGGGGTATTCCAGAAAGCAGGTTATGTGACATTGGGTTAGTAAGCGGATAAACTCAGCTTTCGGTTCCAAAAACGGAGGTAACTCTCAGGGTATGTAAGCAGCCATAGCAACTATATCCTAATACCCTAATACAGGTCTGTACCATGCACATGTCAAGTCACCCAACACGTTATTAATCGGACTATCGGCCACAAGGGGGCGCCATGCGCAACACAAGACCATGCACATGCACATATTTACACGTTGCTGTTTATTTATACACTTTTACATCATTATCGTCATTACCATTGTGGAATAAAAGTGCTGTTACAAACACTCAGACTAGCTTGTTTTAAAATTGCTTCTAGTCTCTGAAACTATAGCTCCTTTTCTCTAAACTCTACACACAAAACATGCTAATATAATGCTGTTAAACGCACGCAGCTTGACAAATAAGACTCTACATAATAGAAGCTGCATTAAGGTGCTTTTACCATCTCCGTGGGTTATGGTCTCGATCTCTACTCCCATGTTTCTGAAGAGCCCTCCCGCACACAGTCTCGCTCGCAGCAGTTTGCAGGCAGAGGAGCGATGCTGTCGGGTCACGTGACCGCAGCGAGAACACTGGGAGAGGGTCCAATAGCAGCGCGCTCACTTAACATAGCATAAATCCTGCTGATGACTAGTGTGACCCGTCCCCTTTGTTACGCCCGGTAAGTGAAAAATACTATTAGCCTATTGTTTTAAAAAGCAAATAACGTTTTTAAATACTATTTTTTAAGTACAAAAAAAAGTTGGATGAATCCCCCGGCCTCCAGCTCATTGTGAAGTACCTGTTACATAACATGCTCTCAACGCTCATTTCATCTGTAGTGTTGTAATGTGGGTGACTGGAGTCGCACATATCCACCTCCCAAGCCTCCTCCATGAACTAGAGAACTGCGCGGGACGAAAAGTTCAGTCCCACACCCGCAGATTTGTTATCTTGTCCCACTCCCACCCGCGACATTCATGTTTTGTCCGGTTTTGTCCCGCTAGCTCCTGCAAAAGCCCGCATAAAAGTAGCATATATAGATTTTTTCAGTACATCCATGAAATTTACATGAAATAGTAAGTTCTGTAACATCCCAGCATAAACGCACCCGATAAAACATTTGTTATTTAGGCATCAACATCAACAAACCACTGTTATTTTCATCAGGGGGGGTATTCCAGAAAGCAGGTTATGTGACATTGGGTTAGTAAGCGGATAAACTCAGCTTTCGGTTCCAAAAACGGAGGTAACTCTCAGGGTATGTAAGCAGCCATAGCAACTATATCCTAATACCCTAATACAGGTCTGTACCATGCACATGTCAAGTCACCCAACACGTTATTAATCGGACTATCGGCCACAAGGGGGCGCCATGCGCAACACAAGACCATGCACATGCACATATTTACACGTTGCTGTTTATTTATACACTTTTACATCATTATCGTCATTACCATTGTGGAATAAAAGTGCTGTTACAAACACTCAGACTAGCTTGTTTTAAAATTGCTTCTAGTCTCTGAAACTATAGCTCCTTTTCTCTAAACTCTACACACAAAACATGCACACAACATGCAAAACATTACGCATCTCTTGCAAAATCAAACACTTCTTTCAAAACTATTGTAACTTTTATAAAAAAATATATATATATATTTTTGCATAGTAACTGTTCACACAAACATATAATGATATCGTACATGCCAAACTACACACCGATATGACAAATGTAAAACACTACTATCTTGTATCTTTTGATTGTTCAGTGTGCAGTGGAGGGCACAGGGGTTTGTCCTAGCACTCACATGTACATGTATGTACAAAAATACACTGTATATACAGTGTGGATGCACAATTGATGAGCCTTACAGTTCTTGAACTGAACTGAACTGAATCAACGCTGACTTGAGTTGTATGATGACACTTTACAGCAGAATTTTATTACTGCTGTATTGTATAAAGAATTATAGAAATAAAGATGACTTGTATGCATATTCGTATATGTACAAAGTACTGGAAACAGGAATGCAAGGGTGAAAAATTAATTTGTTGCTCAAATCATTGAGTTTTAATTTCTAAGTGATCAAATTAGGTATATTTTAGGGCTGTCAAATCGATTAATTGTGATTAATCGCATTCAAAATAAAAGTTTGTGTTTACACAATGTATGTGTGTACCGTGTATATTTATATGTATATATAAATACACACATATACATGTATATATTTAAGAAATATTTACATGCATATTCATATTTAGATATTATTTATATTATATATAAATATATATTACATATATATCTTACACACTCATGCATTATGTAATCACAAACTTTTATTTTGGATGTGATTAATCGCGATTAATCGGTTTAAAAGCCCTAGTAGATTTACATATTGTGTATCATGTATAAAAGTTTTCACACATGATCATTAGGTGTAAGTAATCAATAATTAAGTGTGGCATTTAAATAGCAGTTTTTTGCTAATTAAATACAAGAACAGATAATGTGCTTGCAGTTCTGCAGACTTGGTCTGAAGATTCACTATATGAGTGAATGCTTTCACTGAATGTGCCTCAAATAGCCTAAAACGTTTTAGTTAGCAATTTTAAAGAACTGTAATATGCAGAGACCGTTATCAGTAAACCATTTGCTGGTTTATTCACTGGTTGATATAAACACTTTTCACACAGCAACACTGGCTTAATATGGGTTTGAGGCAGGAGTATCTGTTTGTCTGTATATGGTGCGGAAATTGCACACTGCACATTTAAGTGCACTAATGTTTCTCAATTCTAGTCCTATGGGGCCCCATAGCACTGCACGTTTTGAATGTCTCTTTTATTCATCTAATTCAGCTCATTAGTATAGAGATCTCCCTGACCTGAAATGTGTGTGTATGATTAGTGAGACTCCTAAATGGGGTTGAGGTCCCCTGAAGCAAGACTGAAAAATATTCACAATGCACAATGAAACAGCCTTTACACTGAGATGAAAACAAAGCACGTTCATGATCAACAGTTCAGCAGTTACAAAAGTAGAGAAAGCCACTGATTACTTCATAGGCTCAGCTCTTCTTCTCCTTTCAAGCCGGTCTCTGTCCTATGTCAAGATAACACACAGTGATGGCACAGTTATTACAGCTATTGCAACTTGTCAAGCACCTTATGCAAAACTGGAATACAGTGTAAGAACATCAAGACATCACTGAACATAATATGCTTTAATTTCCACTGAAGTAAACGAAACTTGGTCTTCAGTGTATAAGAAGATGCTTCTGTGTTAAAGGAAGTTGTGGTGACTGACAAGAAAAAAAATGCTCTTTTTGATGTGAGCATTGCTTCTGTCCCATTTTCTTTTTTAAATTCTGTAGAAAGCATTAATGTCACATGACTGAGCTGAATAAACACCATAAGGTTGATCAGGACCTTCAGTCTTCTAAGTAAACAGACAGAAACACATACCCTGCTTTCCTTAATGCGTCCTGGATTTTCTGTCGTCGCTCTTCATTGATGGGATAGAAGCGAAAAATCACCATGCCAATGAGCAGCAGGCAGATTGGCACCGGAGCGAAGAGCATCTGCAGCGAATATATGACCTCTGGATTGTGTTTACAAGCACCAGACTTGTATCCTGCAAAGCTGAAGAGTTAGGGAAGGAGAACATCACATGAAGCTTTCACATGAATGAATCACAGAAGCTGTCGGTTTATGGGGATTCAAAAAAAAAGACGTGATGCACAGATGTTTGAAAATGAATGAATGCTGGCATGCACCAACATCCCTTCCACTGCCATTTATTCTCATTCAGTGCTGAATTGTTTTGGATTCAACACCTGTATTCCCAGCTATAAAAAATCTGATTGGAGGAAGCTCTTACTGTAGTACCAAAGTAGAGATTCCAACAGACATGCCTCCTCCAAATTTGTTGAAGAAAACGTAGCAGGAGTAGAACAATGGTTCTAGATCCTGGCATGATGGGTTCTTGACTTTGAAGTCATCCACTACATCTGGCAACATTGACCTAAAATAAATCAATAAACTGGTTATACAGTATGACGTTTCATATACAGTACATATTCAAATATATATATAGACTCACTGACCACTGTATTAGGCACACTTGTTCAACTGCTTATTAAAGCATATATCTAATCAGCTAATCACATGGCAGCAACTCAATGCATATAGGTATGTAGACATTGTCAATATGATCTGCTGAAGTTCAAACCAAGCATCAGAATGGGGAAGAAAGATGATTTAAGTGACTTTGAATGTGGCATTGGTTGTTGGTGCCAGACGGGCTGTTTTTTTAGATCAGTGCTTCCTTCTGTGGTGAAAGTTCCTTGTTGATGCCAGAGGTCAGGCGAAAATAATCAGACTGGTTCAAGCTGATAGAATGGCAACAGTAACTCAAATAACCACTTGTTACAACCAAGGTATGCAGAAGAACATCTCTGATACGCGCAACACGTCAAACCTTGAAGCAGAGTGACAGGCCACTCCTGTCAGCTAAGAACAGGAAACTGAGGCTACGACTTGCACAGGCTCACCAAAATTGGACAATAGAAATTTGAAAAAAAGGTTGCCTGGTCTGAGAGTCTCAGTTTCAGTTGCAATCAAATTTCAGTATGATGGCATTCTGAATCAACCAAACATTATAATGTTGAACATATACAACTAATTTCCAGCTGACCACCATCTGGGTTAGCATAACGTTTCAATAAAGAGGAAAACACTGGGTGGAATATGTGTTGGTGGAGCGAGGGCTTTAACAGTAAAAGAGACATTACATGAGAGTTAAATTACCAAGGGAGTAGATAGAGGGCTGCCAGACTTGTGCCAGATAGCATGGACATAATAATGAAGACGGGTAAATTATTTTTCACTACGGATATCACAATTAGAGCTGGGATATAAATCTGCAGAGAAGAGGAGAAAGAGGGATGAAAAAGTGGAAACTATTCCAGTTTAAAAAAATAAATAAAAAATATAAAAACTAATAGCATGCTGATGGGCTGTATTTAACATTAACTTCACAAACAAATATAAAGTAATTGTTATAGCATTCCTATTTCCTTTCTGTGCAGCCATGAATAGTCTAATTAGAAATAAAGAGTGGTGCTCACTGATAGGCCGATGAATATGGTGGTCTTCTTGCCTTTTTTGACCAGTAGTGTCTGCCACATTGGGATGGATATTGTAGCTGATGTCTGCATAAGAATAGATTACATGTCTGTAACTAACAATATAATTGTATGTAATTGAAAATTAAAGGTATAAATATTTTAAAAGTAAATTGTAACATAAATGTGAGACCATTCCAAAAAAAATATGTTGTGATTTAATATAATTATATAATTAAATGGATATAATAAAATATATAAATATTATTTATTATTTAATATACTGAAGGAACCTGGCTACATAAGTTTACACCTATGAAAGCTATTTTTACGGATCAGATCAGGGAGAAATAGCTCCTTGTAGTACTTCTTACGATACTCTTTGAAATAATGCATCCCTCACCAGTAATATAAGAACAAGATGCTGGAAATATGCTCCCATATTCGCTGCATGAGTACAGAAGAGGGCGAAATTCCCCTGAGCCATCTGAAACATAAATTCTTATCATTATGTAGCTGTCATACTTTATAAAATCCATATTTTTAAATTATTTAATTTAAATCCACTCTGTGACTATAATATCAAAACTATCATACACAACTGGGCATCTTTCTAGGCAATACAAACATGCTCTTTTGGTATTTTTATGTCTAACAACCATCAAAATACATTCATAATTTAAACAAAAAAATGTCATACCTGGAAGGCAAGTGAAGCAAATAGGAAGCCAAATACAAGCCACACATATGGAGTGTGTCTCACCACCATCTTCATTCCAGTTAGATAGGGGACATTTATGCGGTCCAGTTTACTCAGAGGGGCTAAAATGAGAAGTAGATATATTCAAATCATTATAATAGTCTTGAAGTCACTGCATTAAGTCGACTGGCCAAATACACTGCTTGGCCAAAAAAAAGTTGCACACTCTAATATTTTGTTGGACTGCATTTAGCTTTGATTACGGTGGTATTGTGTTTGACAACCTTGAAATGAACCATGAAATGTCACAAAGATTATTTCTATCAAGAGTTGCATTCATTTTTGGTAGAGATCTTGTATTGACAATGGGAGCACTCCCACTATCTGACCCTGAGGCAAACCAGTCTGTAAAGTCTCCCCAAATCCCAAAGACTTTTAATGGGGTTAAAGGGATAGTTCACCCAAAAATGTAAATGACCCCATTTACTCACCCTCAAGCCATCCTAGGTGTATATGACTTTCTTCTTTCAGACAAATACAATCGGAGTGATATTAAAAAATGTCCTGGCTCTTCCAAGCTTTATAACGGCAGTGAATGGAGGTTGAGATTTTTGAGCAAAATAAAGTGCATCCATCATAAAAAGTGCTCCTCACGGCTCCGGGGGGTTAATAAAGGCCTTCTGAAATGAATCGATGCATTTGTCTAAGAAAAACAGCTAGAGGAGCTAGAGATTACGGTTTATAAAGTTTTAAATATGGATATTTTTCTTACACAAACGCATCATTTCACTTTTGGAGGCCTTTATAAACCCCCCGGAGCCGTGTGGAGCACTTTTTATGATGTTTTTTTAAAAATAATTTTTAGGATGACTTGAGGGTGAGTAAATCATGGGGTAATTTTCATTTTTGGGTGAACTATCCCATTAAGGTCAGGACTCTGCAGTGGCCAATTCATACATGAAAATGATTCCTCATTCTCCCTGAACTGCTCTTTCACAGTTTGAGCCTGATAATCCTTAGCACTGGCATCCTGGAATATGGCCATGGGATACGTCTTCTATGATTTTTTTAAGAAATAAAAAGCTACACACTGCATCAGTTAGGGTTAAAAGAATTGTTGCCAAACATATAACATGTCAGAAACATGTTCATCACTGCAATAATAATGATGCAATCATAAACTCTTAAGTATTTGCTTATTTAAATCCAAACAGCAATTTTTTTTTTTGCCAGGCAGTGTATTTATGTATGTGTTTCAAACTTACTGATGCACAATTGGAGCTGAAAGAACATGTGGTATACAAAACAACAGATGTTACCATTTTAACTCATGTTAACTCATTTGGACCTACCCAACTGCTCCTTCACTCCAAGAAAAAGCACGAGGCAGCACAGAAAGTACAGCATTCCTAATACTAATGCTCCAGTCAAATAGGCTCTTCTCTGCAGAAATTAAAAGACAAATCAGGTAAAACTTTGCAACATCAATACTAAACTAATTCCACTATACGCATTAATAGGATGTTCTCTGTGCCTCACTGTATTTTGTAGAGTGTCAGATATGTCATCCAGTGAGTCTGTGTGGTTCCCAGAAGGCCCTTGCGTGCCATTCTGTAAACTGCAGACGTGTGTCCTCTTGGCATGGTGCACCCCCACTATCTGACCCTGAATGGCAGCTCCTGCCAGTGTAGCGAACACTTCCATGCCCATTCCTGTATCGTGAGAGAGAACAAAGTTCTTTTTTATACAGGAAATAGATTTCAGTTAAGGTTATGTCCTATATATCCAAGTTTCTGCTCTCTATTTCCACTATCTCTGGCTGATGTTTCTTCGCTGAGGAAGTGTATCATCATGGATAACAGAGACCTATTGTTCTCTCTGTTTGCAAAACCTTCAAATTTCCAAGCTTTTTAAACATTTTTCAAACCAATCAAACAAGATTTTGTCTAGCCAACATTCAAAGTTTTCTTTTTTCTTTGCTTTTCTTTATTTTTTATTTTTTCATTTTTGAATGTCTTTGAATATCAATTCATTTTTTAAAGTTATATGTTGGGCATTTTTTGGATAGGACAGTATACAGATCAGACTGGAAAGCATGGGGCGGAGAGAGGGTAACAGGATCAGCAAAATACCTTGGGCCCAATCAAACTCAGGTCACCAGAGGCAAAGCTGAAGTGTATGTTGGTAAGTTTTTGTTCATTGTGATTCTACTTTCTTATATTCAAATTCAAATAGCAATTCAAAGTTTTTCACAATTTACATTTTTTTTGAACAACCTAGTTTTTTAATTCTTCGTATGCCGTTGTCTGATTCGAACAAAACATGCTATGTACCATCTTAAGAAAAGCTGACAAAAAAATTATCAAAATAATTATTATATTAATATATTTAACCATTTAGCAGATATGGGATAATAATAACAAATTGGCCTATATCTTGTGAGTATATTTTCAGAAAACTTTGTTCACAAGGACAACAGGACATTCACACCAAATTTCACGAATTTCTGATACTAGGAGGGACTAACAACCATTTATATTAATGGAAACGATAGATGAAGGGTGCAATACTGGTGTTTGACACTAAGGTAATATAAATCCTTTTAATTGCAATCTTAAATCAGTGTGAATGGTTGGAAATTTTTCCTGATTTCTTTTCAGTTGTCCCTTTTGGAACTAGCATGTATTTTTGTAAGCTGTTTCATCAAACTATAACTTACAGTATAACTTCCATTTAAACATCCCCCTATGCAGGAAATGTCCTAAACAGCCAAACATCTTTTATTCTAAATCTGTAAAGCAGCAGTTAACACAGCGGACAGATAATGGTAATAGTGGGCTTACACTCATGAAGGTGTCAAACAGACAGCACCATGTGAAGTACCAGCCGAAACTGAAGGCAGAGGACATGGTGTCCTGTGGGGTATACCAGAGCATAACGTATGACAGGACCCCAAGTGGCATTGTGAACACAATCCTACATAAAGAGTGAAGTTGAGCACAGAGTAGATACGCGGCACATAATGTTGCAGATTCAGCATTTTTAAAAGAATCCATTTGAGTACAGTATGCTATCATTTATATCATTTATATGATTCATGGTAATATGAACATAAGCAGCCTCTGGTCAAACAGTGAAACATCTAAAAGAGAGTTGAGGAAGTGCTCCACACCCATTCTGACATTAACCAGTACACGCACCAAGGAATAAGTTTGCCAATTCTGGTCCGGCCACTCTTGCTCACGGCATATCCAATCAGAGGATCCGAAACATTCTATTTATTTGCCAATATGTTTAATTTTTGTTAATCTCTTTACATTTATTTGTGGATCATAATCTATTTATTTGGAATTATGCAACAATTCTATCTCCATAGGATGAACAACTATATGCAATAATGTGCTCTAGCATTTGTTTATAATACTGAAATAAGAGACCACTCCAATTTTTTTCTTATATCAGCATCTCTACATGTATGGCAGTTATTCCATGCTAGGCACACCTCATTCTGCTTAATAAAGTACTGATTAGGTAATCACCTCAACCAAATCTTATTTAGAGGAAAAATATAAAAACCACTGCTGTGGTCATTACTATCCTCTTGTGACCAGCTGGATGGCAAAAACAGTGCTAGTCGTTTCTCAAAAGTAAATGGAATCAAATAATAACTGAATAACAAATGAATGTTTTATGCCTTAAAAATGTAAATAGCCTACACAACACAGAATTTCTGAGTAAAAAAATCATAAGGCTATTTTTAAGAATAAATTAAACTTGTTTTTATGCTTTCAGATAATTACACATGCTAAAACAGAATTGGGTAACAATAAAACATAAGGTTGGAAAAAATAAACATTTCACAGGGCTTTAAACATGTAATTTGTGTTAAACTTTTAATAAATTGAT